AAATCAGCATATTAGAATGATTTCTGAAGGATCATGTGACACTGAAGACTGGAGTAATGATGCTGAAAATACAGCTGCGCATCACAGGAATAAATTACAGTTTAACAGATATTCACATAGAAAAACATGATTTTACATCATAATAATATTTCACAATATTAATTTTTTTTCCTGTATTTTTGATCAAATAAATGCAGCCTTGATGAGCAGAAGCGACTCCTGTAAAAACATTAAAAATCATTCTAATCCCAAACTTTTGACCGGTAGTGTATGTTGGGGAAAAGCATCTGATGTGTAACATTATATTAGATCCGTGCAGTACAGTAGGTTTTAATATATAGTCCGTCTGTCAGAAAAGATCACTGTATCGCTATAAAAAATATAAATAACTCATTTTTGAAAATGTGCTCATTGTGACTAATTTTGCCAGCACAGGTCACATATTATTTTACTTGGTTTAATCACAGTGGCATCTTTTTGTCATGATGCACAACATATTTTGCGTTATATGGATGTTTACAGAAACCTCTGAGCTCTCTGAACATATAATGTACATATATAATAATTTTGCACACTATTGTTTCTTAGAATCCATATGTAATGATCAGGATCACTCAAAGATCCATTTTTAGGGCCGGTTTATAATGGGAAGGGTTCACGTCTCAGTAATAAATGTTCTTTAGGGAGTATTAATGTAAATATAGTGCACATGCAGAACATTTCAGCTTCTAGACTTCTTCAGTTTAGTTTACTGGGGTGAGAAAGTGTATATTTTTGGGCGAGAGTCCGTGTGTCTTACCGACGCAGGAGAGTCTGTCTTCGGTGGATTTGTAGCCGGTGTTGCAGGAGCACTGATAGCGTCCGATCATGTTCACACACTGACCGTTCCTGCACAGCTTGTCACTCAGTTCACACTCATTGATATCTGCAGAGAAAACACACAGTAAACACAACACTGAGCAAAAACTGTCAATTCAGGATGTGTTAGAAAAGGAAGGTTTTTGATGAAATTTACAACCCACCAAACTAAGGAGTGTTTCAAATCATCACATTAACAAACACACACTCTCTCTCTCTCTCTCTCACAAACGCACACACACACACACACACACACACACACACACACACTCTCACTCA